GAGGATATTGAGACACAGGTTAAGTGGATTTCTTAAAGCCAAAGTCTAGGAAATTGGGAAACAAGTATTCAAACCCAAATTGTCTAACTCTGGAATTTTTCCTTATTTTGGACATATTTACGTAATTTATTAACAGGAGTTGAGTACAAGAAAAAAATGCTTGTTTGACACTTGTAATGGATTGAATTGTGTACAATGGAAGTATGTGCCAACTTAGCTGGATTGTGATTTGGCAGTTACATAATGATGTGGTAGATGTGATCAGCCAATTAATTTTAAGGGGATTAGGTTAGAATGCAACACCCTTACTCGGATTACAGCCTGGATCTTGTGTAAGGGGAGTTTCCCTAGGATGTGGCCTGTTTCACCTTTTCTCTTTTTTATCTTACAAGAGATAAAAGGAGAAAGAAGCAAGCAGAGAAGGAGATACCTCACTACCAAAAAGGAACATAGCATGTCTTTGAACCCAGGGTCTCTGTGCTCAGAACCTCCTAGACCAAGGGGAATATTGATACCAAGACACGTGGAGATCTCCAAAAAATGGCAGGCCCACAGATGTTGGAAAGAGACCAGGGCCTTCCCCCAGAGCCTACAGAGAGAGTGAGTCTTCCCCTAGGGCTGGCACCCTGGATCTGGTCTTCTAGCCTCTTGAACTGTGTAAGAATAAGTATGTGTTTGTTTAGGCCACCTACTTGTGTTTTTGCCATTACAACAGCACTAGATAACTAAGATATCATTCTTCCAAAACTAGCAGTTATCAGACAAGCAAGTCTATGAGGAAAAATAAAGATAAAATTCATGCTTGCCATGAGATAAAATTAATGCACTTCTAAAGCAGATTGAAAGAATTCAAAATGGAGTTGAGCCAGTGAGCAGCATGTTTATCCCTCTGGCATCTAAGGTCTTGGAAAACTAGCCACAACAGTTTGAATTAGGAATTTCAGTGCTCTGAACACCTCACAGAATAAGAGTACATCAAACACGGAAGAGCAGAATTAGAGGAAAGGCACAGGGAGATTATTTAGGAAAGAGCTACTGGAGGAGGATGGACAGGCATCCAAGAGAGGCATTGGAAACTCTTCTGAAGCAGTCACTGTGTGCTGGGCTAGGGCGCCCACCTGAGATCCCCGAGCCAAGAGAGAGGACGCCTTATAACAGCTTACCAGCAACCACTCTAATATTCTGGTGGGCAGTGGCAGAGACCTGCCTCCAGCAGCTGATCTTGATTTTTTTGGAGGTAATTTGGGTCTCCTGGGTGCTGGCTGCAGCACAGACACCTCTGCTGAGATTCGGATGAAAACTTACTGTTGCAACAGGAAGGGTAGCTCCCTCCCCTCCCAGTGGGTCACAGAGTAGACTGGGGTCAGACTGGGAGACATCGCAC